TTTCCAGGGTATCCCGGAGGTCCAGGATATCCCCTTGGACCAGGGTCTCCCTAAAACAATAAAAATAATTGAAAAAAGCAACAAAGAAAGGCAACAAACAAGTTAGCAAGTTTCCTCACTAAAAGGAAGGATTGGCATTGAAGTTATTGAAGCACTACTCACCTCCCCCCCCCCCCCGCATTAACGCACCTCCCAAAACTCACCTTTCAAACTAACATCATCTTAACGTAAGTAAGAAAATTGCGATATAATCGAAATTCAGAAATATCAGATCAATAATGTCTGGATACCATTTACCAAGGTTCCTAATTAGTGTTGGAAATTTTCTGACATCTTCGCGGTTGCTTTCCATCAGACTAACTCGCGCGGACAATCATAATCCAATCTTTTTGACACCGAAAGCAAACTAGTCAAAGTGGCGTTGGGCACAACAAGTGTTACAATAATAACTTATTAACCGAGAGTGATTTCTTCACGTGAAAATCTCATACCGAGAATCTTAAATCGGCCATGCTGTGTTGACCTCGCTATCACTCGGTCGATACGGCAAGGCCGAGGTTTGGGATTTTTTCGTGAAGACCGAATGTTCGAGTTGTTTATTACACAGTTGTATAATGCCCTTGTATTAGCTAATCAGAGCGCGCGTTACATCGCCGGGCTACAAACACAAGTCATATATATAATACATAATGTTATCGATTCTTTTATCAAGCTTAGATATATATATAGATATATAACTCACATCAGTACCAGGTAATCCAACATCTCCTCTTGGTCCAAGAGCGCCGGGATTTCCCTGATAAGAGATCAACGTTGGACATTTTAGGAACTCGTAAACAAGTGTATTGTCAGGTCGCGCTTGGTCTGGGTTTAGTATCTGATCGCTTATTAAACAAGGAAGCGCGAGTTTCTGCACAAATCACACAGCGTGGTTAAGCGAGAAAAGTGACAATTACAGATTATTTTTGGAGGGTGGGGGGAGGGGTGAATAGGTTTGCAGAGCGGCGGATTTGCGTACGCCATTCAATCCCTCTCTTCCTCCTCTGGCAATTATTTAGCTCATTTCAGGTTTAAAACTCGTTAAATTTGGTTCTTTCATGTTTTGAGTGATTTGAAATGAAGTATATTACATTCAACTCACCGGCGTTCCAGTATTTCCTGCCTCTCCAACATTCCCGGCGACACCAATGGAACCCTGAAAACAAACGTTGAAGCTGCTTTCAGATGAATAAATTTGCACCATGTCAAAGTCAAGAGAGTATACTTAAGTGGGTGAATATTAGGGTACATCTGCTCATTGTGTGTAGCTGGAACTTTTACCCTCCAATGCGCGTTCTTATTGGCTACTTCGATAGCACATGACGTCTCACAATGAAATTGTTTCCCGCCAAAAGTATCTGATAAGGCAGCACCAGAGAAAGCTATGACGCCAAAGGATAGCGGTAGTGTTTTAGGACTGTCATGGCGCCCTCAGCTCGGTACTAATTAGAACTTTGCGTGCCTAAATAGGTCTTTACTATGTACAGTAGAGCCTCGCTTTACGTAAACCCGGTTATAACGGACAGTTTTGCTTGTCCCAACGAATAGCTCATGTGTTTTGTCTAACCGCTTAATACGGAAACCGGCTAATACGGACATGCGAAGGACATGCCTAGGACCCGAATGAGGCACTGCCATACAAACTAAACTTGCTTTACGGACACTGTCTATCTTCCCTCTGCACTTTTTTTTTTCATTTGTTGCGATCATGTTCCAAATGAACCCTGTTAGAAAATGAAAGGTTTATATAAGTTCTAAAAGCAGAAGCGCCTGACCTACATGTAACTTAGTCGCGTTTGAAACTGGCAAAAGAACATCCAGTACAAGACATTTAGCGATATATTTGATAAGGTTGTTTTGCCTTTGAACGTAAATTTCAGTCAAGGCATTATACACCGTTCGTTAAAATTGAATTCTTTAGTCTTTATGTTAGCCAATTGGGCAACGCTTTTCTGAGAACCCGCTTAATATGGACCAGTGGATAATGCAGACACTTTGGCGTGGCCCTTTCGTGTCCGTATTAAATCGGTTCCTCTGTATTTTATCGGTCTTACAATTCCTCCTTTGCGACCGGGAACTCCTGGCAGTCCAATCTAACAAAAGAAACAATAACATAACACATTAGATGACATGAAACTGCTACATGCGCACTACAAATAAAATACACCTCAAGAAGTAATATAATATTAGGGTTAAGAATTGAGTACAAGCACGCGACTTAACAATTCTAGTTTGCAGGCTTCACATTATCACGTCACGTATCCATCACATTCCATATGCAACCCTCTCTTGCTAAAACCAACATGAAACACTATCGAGGGCTCTGGAAACTTCACTGGTTTGAAAATGGAAAATCGTACTCGTTCTCTGAAGGTAAAGCGACTTCAAGTGAAGGATAGAGATATTAGTAAGTTCGCGTGTTACTCGAGTTGCAGCGTGTGAGGTTTCCGTAAGAGAAAGTCAAGTTTGTGAAGTACACAACACAGTTATATTACGACCCACAATTGGTAGAATCAGCTTGATAGTGAGGCCTATAGAGGACACACAAAAAAGAAATGAATAAAAATGCCTTTCAATTCCCTTTTTTGTGTGTCCTCTAAGCCTCACTGCCAAGCTGAATTTTAATATATCGAAAAAAATCTCTTCGCTAACCAGTTGGCTATCTACAACCAGTTAGCTATCTATCGACTCACGGGACTTCAGTAAAAGCCGGAAATAGAAAACCTCTGGGACCAGAGAGGGATGATTCGAGTTCGCGACTATCTAGGACAAATCCAATTAATAGCAGAACTGAGTGCTTTAACCCCGGAAGTATTACCACATTAATTCACTCGACCACAATGCGATGAGACATTAAAAACCTTTAAATTTATCCGGATCCAAAGTAATCATTACTACTAAACTTGACTCACCGGTGCAGCTATAAGATCAGATCTTTCAGAGATGATATTTGGCGCCATGTATGGTCCTTTGATTCCTGATAGAGTCTGACAAAATAAAACGATAATCAGAAATTGGCACACATTTATAATCCCCATTCCTTCAGAGACACGCGTAATTAAAGAGCTTGGCCGTAAGTTGAGTCACGAACTTGAAAGTTTTTGCGTGACACAGTTTCCAGCTTCTTAGGCGTTTTCGTGCGAATTGAATATCAATCACGGTACGTCACTTAAGATTTCGAGAAACGATAGCCTTTGCATGCTTAATGAGAGTTGACCATTGAGATTCAAGCTGTACAGTCGACCATCCAAGCTGCGACCGAAACAAATAGAATAGAGCGAGCACGTAGGTGTGACTTTACAGGCTAATTTAAAGGAGCTCGGTTACGGTATTTTGGCCATGTACAAAATAACCTATAAATTGTAGAAAACCGGAAAACAATCGTTTACTAAGATAAAAAAAACATCTAACAGCTAATAATAAAAGATAAAGGGATACGGATGGTTTAGGATGGAGAAGACTGACAGGGATTACAAACGACGAATTTGAAAAACATACGCTAAACTTTTCAGGATGCGCATACCGTAAATTAGCTCCTTTAACTTGTTATCGAGTGTATAACATGTTTTCTGGCCAGCAGATTTGCCAGGGACCTGCCTGGAAAATGGAAGTTAAGACATGCCTCAATTTTACTGTGCGATTAGCGCTGAACACATGCGAATTTACCAGCAAGTAGAAAATTGTCTTTTAAATGTGATTTGTTGGTGAAGTAGTCTCTGTTATGGTTTAAGATGAATTCTAACAACGCTTTGATGACAAATTCTAACAAATTGGCTCCTTGCAATACCCGCTGGAATACTCACAGCAATTATTGACCCGCGTCCAACAACTGGCGGTCCGGGGGGACCTGGTGGTCCAGGGGCCCCCGCAATTCCTTTCCTGCCCGGAGGTCCCTTAGAAAATGAAAGAGGGCAGTAACCGTGAAATTACAAAATTTGTTTGCATTCTACTACTTGTATTATCATGTCAGGCTCATCAATGGCCAAGTGCCCATCCATTAGTTATACACTCGCAGGTATCCTGTTCACAGGAACAACAAAAGCCAAAGACGGTTCGGGGAAAAAGCCAAAGAGGGTTTGCTATACAATTTAACTGTAAAAACTTTAAAAAACTGAGAAAAAAATGTTGAGAACCATCTGGTTAAAACTTTAAAAAAGTTTAAAATTTTGTGACGACGTTTCGACGTTCACTTAATGTACGAATATAAATGTAAAAGAATTCCTACGAGACACGAAATGAGATACTAAAAATGTGGTGATGACGCAATCAGGAATTAGCACGCATAGTCAAGTGGAAAGTTTAACGCGAATAGTCTTTTTGGGTCTTTAACAAAGGTTTCAACTCCTTAATGAGGAGCATCTCAAAAATTAAGCAATCAAACTACGACCTGCACTTTTTCAATAATGAACCAATAATCTTTTAACCAATGCATCTATGATGCATCTATGATACTTAATGGCGTTAGGCAATATAATATGGAAATTAGGAGAGTGAACTTTCGAAAATTAGCACTTTCAACGTGCATCGACGATGAGCTCTCCGTTATCTTGTTTTTATTAACCTCTTACAATAAAAGTTATTCGGGTGCTTTCACTATCCCACAATACAGTACAAATAATAAGCTACATATTTACATTAATTTGTCGCAAATTTTTATCATGATTGCATATTTGGTATCAAAATAAGGTAAATAGCTATAGAAGCCATTGACATCAAAGACAACTTACTGTATTTCCAACTGGACCTGTTCGCCCGCGGGATCCACGAGGTCCGGGTAAACCCTAGGGCGGGAGGAAATAATAAAGGAATAAAGTAAACTAACAAACCAAACAAATAACACCAATAAAGGAGGAAAAGAAAGAAATCGTAGTAAGGACATTCAGTAGGTTAATTGACCTCATGCAGTTACACATCGTATTGCAATAGAGAGGTTTACACTTGAGTGTCGAAAAGTAATTGTTTCGCATGAACTACGCTACACAACTGACTAAAAAAAAGAGTCGTGTCACATTTTCAACTAATCAGAAGTAAAACGAAAACCAATCGTGATTGGCTCGCAAGAGTTTTCTTGCGCTAAGCGTCAGCTACGTAAATTTACTTCGAGTTTTGATTGGTTCATTGGATTGTCCGTGTTCTTCTAAGTTGCGATTGGCCAGAGTGATTCCTTTGGTTTTGCTTTTACGACTCTCAAACGAAAACCGCTCTAAGCAATGTTGAACAACTTATAACTGTGGAACTGTGGCTTTCCTAATTTCTTTCGCTTTCCTTATCATAAACTCGTTCAGATTATCTGTGTATCGTCTATTATTTCTCGTCTATTATTCATTAAAAAGAGGTTTTTACTGACCACTGGGCCTGTCAATCCATTGTCTCCAGGTGGACCGATAACCTGCCGGATTTAAGTTAAGAAAATGAAAATAGCATGCGTGTTTACACTAGATTGATGAAAACACAAAAGAAGGGTGGGGAAGTTAGAAAGTTTGGGTAAACTCGCCTTGCAGGCGGAGGTTTTCATAAGGAGTTATCGAACTCTTCCAAGTTTTTCTTTCAGTTTGAAGCGGCCGGTGAAATTAAGAAATGCTGTTATAGTGTAAGTAGTACAAATAGTACACATACAACTGTGTTTGCCGTGCCTCATGGAAAACAACTAAAAAACCAATTAGCATCCCCGTATTATGAGTGTAGGTATATAGTCAATAAAACATGGAAAATTCAACAACAACAAAAATAATGCAAATACAATTTGATAATATACACGTATTCGTAATAAAATACATACCACAGGAATCTGTGCTTATACAGAGCCGACTTATCAAAGTATATGTGATGAGGGAATAAGGAAATAATTAAAACAAAACAGCGTGCAAAAACAAGGTGAAGGAATCCAATGTTCTGTAGCATACAGAAACAAGGAAACCTGGAGCAGCTGGATAATGAATAACGAATATCTACTCTAAGGAAACTACACGAGATAATTTTTTAAATATATATTTTCTAACAAATCGTAAAATACCTCTGTGTATCTGTCAATCCATCGTTTAAGGTGTATCTACAGTCTTCGACTAATGGTCCTTTTAGCTGTATTGCTGATGAGGGACCAGCATAGGCTTAAGAGGATGTGGTATGTGAGTAAAAACAAAGGCGGGGTGCGGAATGACATAAATTTTAAGGGAGGGGTGCGGAATAAAACTGAATACCTCGACGGGAGCGGAATTTGCTCATTTTGACTGACGGGATGCGGCATAGTCCTAAGATTGACGGCGAGATGAGGGATGAAAAACAGAAAATCACAGGTTGCGGACATTACACAGAGAATTGCGACTATAACCTGGCGGGATCGAGATAAACATTCGCTGGATGACGGGATTGAGCCAAAAAGCGCAGCGGGATGCGGGATTGAACAAGCCTAATGTTGGACCCTCTACTGATTGTCAATATTAATTCGTACGAAATCTGCCTTAATAAATACCTTTGTAAGGTAATTACAGTTTCCTTACCGTAACTTCGATTTTACATATCTCCTCAGTTATTTTGTTAACTGCGCGAGCGAGGTTTTCTAACTCTCCGATGATAACTTTACTGGGGTCAGTAGCCATACCCAATAGTTCCACTGGGTCAGGGGTACCAGCACCAACAGAAATAACTGTAACATTCTTGTCCTTAAGTTTCTGAGCGTTATCCCCTGGGAAGATACGTTCGTCATCTCGAGGGTTTTGTGTCTTCTGAGTTTGAGCACCGTCGGTAAAAATGACCAGGACCTTGCAGAGACAAAATAGGTTTTGAATTGCAAGAATTCGTTTTAAGAATCCAACACTCGCTCTCCTTGCATTATCCGCAAAGATTGTCGACTCTTTACCTATTTTCTTGGCTTATACTATTTGAACGCAGTTATAGGACTTGCAAAGTTTGCCGTACGTTTTAACTCTTTGAAGTGTGATAAGAATCTTTTTATATATCCTTCAGCTACACTCTGTTTTTTATAAGAATGTGATTTATAAGAATATCGAAGCTGAGATTTGCGAAATTTTAAGAATATTTTAAGAATAAACCCAGTGGCTGAGATTTTGAAAAGAACATAATTTTGCATGTTGGAAATTTGTAATAACAAATGACAGTTTTACATGATTGTTTTCAACTAAACCACATAAAATTCTTCCTTTCTCTAAAAGGCAAAACTAGCCAAACAACAACAACAACAACAACAACAACAACAACAACAACACTAGCCGTATGTTCGATGCAAATAGCATTTCTACAAGAATATGGGTGTGTTATATCAGGCTTTATTGCCCGCCGCAGCCTGACTCAAAAATTACTTCAACGCCATAATATCCGCCGTAATATCGGACAACATCTTCAAAATTTTGCAGATGCAAATTTGTTAAATTGATTTTTATTGAAATTAAGTTCCATTTGCATCAGAACTCCAAGTCAAACTCAGCCATTTAAGCAAGATTTGTTTGAAACCAATGGCCTCGGGTGCCTCGTGGTTAGTGCGCTTGTCTCCGGATCGAGGGATACGAGTTCGAGCCCTGGCCGGGGCCATTGTGTCGTGTTCTTGGGCAAGACACTTTACTCTCACAGCGCCCCTATTTATACTCCCTGGTGTATAAATGGGTACCAGCGAATTTGATGCTGGGGGTAGCCCCGCGATGATCCAAGGGGAAGAAGAAATACTCGTACTCGCCACATAGAAACCGGAGATAAGCGCCGGTCTGATGGGTAACTTGGCTCGTATGCAGGTTTAACTTACTTGATGTCTAAAATCAAACTATTAGTTACTGGCACGGTCGACTGAAATATTCACGATATCGTGTTTTACCGTAACCTGTTTAGTTGGAATTCCCAACTAGTTTAGCCGTTCTGTATGGTAACGATGTAGCAAGGAAGTTATCAAAGGTTTGCATGCATGCAGTGCAAACTAGTCACGCGCAGGTTTAGATCTCATATTCAAGGCTTTTAACTTGCAAGTGCATATCTGAAGATAAGAAGGCATTATTCTCACCTTGCGGTATTCGGGTCCTCTCATACCCTTGCTTATCTCAAACTGTTCGTTTGCCAAATCAATAGCCCTGTCAAGAAATGTCTGTCCGTCTCGAACTTTGTAAGAGTTGATGGTATTTCCAACATTTCCCTTTGTTTGAAGGTCATCAAATCCCAGAAGCAATGTGGCTTCGTTGTCAAACTGGACTATTGAAACATGAGTTCCATTTATACCTGGATTAACGTCAAATTTGTCTACCAGGGCTTTAGCAAATTCCTGTATCTTTTCTTCGTTGTCTCCAAAATTGAGGCTCCCAGAACTGTCCAAAATTAATCCAAGATCAATGGGTGGACATGCTTGAAGTTCTATCAAATAAAAGAAAAGAGATTTCGCCTAGGCTTGATTTTGTTTTGCCCTATAGAGTACTCAAATCAAGTACAATACTTTGACTACTTTGCTTGTTTCAAAAAGTATGCGCAAACTGATTCGTTCCAAATTTGACACGAGTAAATACATCAATACAGGCTTTTTACGTGCCTGAATGAATTTATTAATCCAGTGCCACATAACTGACAATGATGTATCTGACATAAACATAGTATTAATATGTTTATGTGAAATAGATTACTGTCAGTTGAAGACAAGAAAAATTCTATTCAAGGTTGACCAATTTTTCACGTGGGTGAATGCACACTGAAGGTGACCTGATATGCAGAAAAACTCAAGAGCTCGGTGTATGACATCTGCAGACTACATTTAGGCTAAAATAGCGTTCTGGTTAACCTGAATATCACTCAGGTTAGCCTGAATAGCGGTTAGCTCTCGCTAATGGAAATGAGAATTCTTGAGAATACGATAAAAGTTAAAGAAGTCTGCATTCTGCGGTCTGCGGTCTGCAGTCTACAAATGTCGTACTCCGGAAGAAGCTAACAGCTCGGTTACATGTCACGCTATAAAAGTGATTGTAGCATTTAAAATCTGCTCTCTAGATAAATGGAGCATTTTATTTAACAATAGGTTACTCTTATCCAATTACTTGTGTTGCAATGTGAAGAAAAGACGCTAAAAGCAGCAGTAGCAACAACATCAATATCAAAGGAACAAAGAATAAGACGTGGCATAAACGTTTATCTGTCGTTTTTTGAACCGAATTCATTTCTTCAATTCCCATCCCGTTCGAATTAAATAAAATCGTTCCACGATATTTGCTTTTCCAAAAGGTAGCTCTAACGGAGATCGGTCTTAATATTAAGTTACCACGTAAAAAAGCTGACGTGGATAGCGGTAACCCGCAGAAATCAAAGAAACTCGGTAAGGAATTCGAAAATAAAATATAGTCGAACGAATACAATTCAGAACGGTAGTGACCCACTGTGGTGGGTGAGAACAAAGCACTTCTGTCCTGGATTAGATAATGTCCTATAGAACACTTGCAAAATGGGGAATATTCAATAAATTCAGCTGATTATTTAAGTCTGCGTCGCCCAATTTGGCCGCCCCTGATGTATATCTACCCTCCAACAGGCTGACAAGATAATTGCCCAATTTCATGTTCCAAAACATTAGTAAGTTTTCAACATCTTAGTCTCTTTGAAGTATGAATTAGTGCGTTGGAATTCAGTTAATGCACGACCCTCTTGTTTCAATAAAGAACTTCCCTCGAACGTGGCAAAACATGGCCTGCGGTGTCTTTACGATAAAATCATACTATCTCTAATCACATCAAAGCAGTGAGTCTGAGTTTCTGCATGCAAGGTCTACAAATCTTACATTTCATCGCAACCCATGCATAAAGGATCCGAAGACAACTTACGTGCTTCTCCAGTCCGAGCAGTCCAAGCGATGATGGCCAGTAGACTTAAAAACCTTCTGCCACCCATGACCGTCAAAAGGGAGCGCTTGAGCTGGTACAAAGCTATCCCACTCTCATCCGATCCCCAATTCGAAGCTTGCTTGATCGATTGCGACAGCCAGACTGGAATTCTGTGATACAGAACGTCTAAAGAACGTCTTTGTGGTTGAAAGGTTGCGATTTGACCCCGACGTAACACAATATCACATAGATTCAAGTCTGAAGGGTACTTGATAATAATAGTATCTACACGCAAGATCCCATATAAACTTATTGTCTCACATTGTCACGAAACTCTAATCGTCAGTACGGAGTCA